CCCGAAATGCAACGTAACAATGATTTATGCCACAACCCTCGCTTGTATTCATTACTGGTGTAGAAATTTAAGCCATTTATTTTGTTAACTCTGTCCCGGGCAATAAAGTAGCTAGAGGGTGCGATTATAGGGATCTGTGAAACCGTAGTTTGTAATCTTAATAGGTATTCATAGTTTATATCTTTTAGATAATTTATATTATTAGATACTAATCATCACGTGGAACTCAAAGTTATTGTAACATAACATAACATCACGCCTTTTATACCCGATGCGGTAGGCAGAGGTACACATTATGCCACTGTCCAATGTAACACCCACTTTTCACTATTTAAGATATGAGTCCCATGTAATAGGGGGTGAGCCTATTGCCATATACCGGGCACAATTCCAGACTTTTTTAAAAATCCATTAATACTTTGCTGACCCTGGAATCGAACCCGAGACCCCTTGCCCGGCAAAGCAACGAGGCAGTTGTTGTAAAATAATCGAGAATTTCTACAAAAATCATAGTCCATTAAGCGTACTTATATTTAAAAGTTATAATATTAGTTTTTTCTTATTATGGAACGTCATCAATATCTCCAACGTTGATAAAACAAATAATCTTTGATGAAACCTAATAAAATGCAGAGAATACTACCTACGCATTAACATGTAAACACCGCGCTGGGTCCCGAATACCGAGACCATTAATTCCCCATCGCGATTCGTTATCCCCATCCCGATTCTCACGGGTTACCATCTTTATTACAAAAGTAACGATAATCCAAAAATTAGTCTCGGCTTATAGTCGCTCCTCCCATACATTTAACATGCGCCACCGGAACTGGAAGGCACAATGATTGACTGGGATATGAACTGGTAAGGGGCGATCCTTTATTTGTCTTTACGATGTAAACCCGTAATGGTGGATCCGTGAGTGTTTGTTTATTTTGTGGGGACTATTTATAGTTGGATAGTGTTGTTATTAATTTGTGGAATGGGTGATGTAATAAAAAGGTTAAACTATAGATGGCGTAAGATGACAGTAGCAATTATTAAATCTCATAACACACAGAAAAATAAATATTTATTAGTATATACAACATTTTACCTTAAATTAAGTAATATAAATAGTTTCCTAAATTTTATTTTAATGTCCGTCTTGTACATAAATTAAATAAATTTAATACTTTAGACACGTATTATTTCTTTTCTCACAAAATTAAATACTTTCGATGATATATTAATTTGCAATATCGTGTGACGTCACAGCGTGTCACATTTTGTGGCACGTAATGACGTAACGTCCTCCCACTCCTAAACTTAGTACCATTTTATCTAAGTATTGCAACTTAATACGAGAATATAAAAAAATACGTGTCATCATCTAACTGACGGACTAATTCGATTTTTAATTTTGATACCCTGGAAACTACCCAATTATTCATTCTATATCACAAAAAGGCAGCAAAAAACAACAGTATACACATATAAAATTACAACAATTATAATAGATGATTCACTCGAATAATGTGTGTAACAATTACTGTGTTTATTCAACCCTAGTGTGCCGTACGGTATCTTTTGTAGTGTATGAGAAAAATCAGTGTAATTCATGGTTGTCACCGCAGATTTCTAATCGTTCCACGTTCGTAGGGATGGCACGCGTATCTATTCGATACGCGTTGTGGGGTCCATCAGACCCTTCACTATAGATAGTATAGATACCAGCTCAAAAACTTCACTTTTATATACACAATGTGATTATTCGGGATGTGTTTAAATAAACAAACAAACCTAATTTTAGTCTATAACTAAAAATGTTAAAACATTGCAGCTATTTAACCTATACCAATTCAAGAAATAGATGCCATACAATGTGTGACGCTGTATCTTTTAAACAGAAACAGTCGATACATAATATCTTTCGATGCTATCGACACTTCTGATCGGACGTCCCGACACCTCTGCAGAGCATTGTTTAAACAATACCGGCAAAATGAACACAGGCTTTATCGATTTTAATCGACAACCGAGCATCGATGAATGGAAATGCAGGGATCCTATCCGAAACGGTATCGAATCGAGTCGTATAGAGTGGTTGATATAGACCCGGAGAGCTCTTAATTAACAGTGGGACACGCAGCGGCGCGTGGCGGGTTTAGCTACGGTACTAGTACACATTGTGTTCAGAGTACTCTTACTTATAATACACCATTAATGCCGTTTACTGAGACTGGAAACTATGTACATGAGTCGTCTTTATGCATTGTTGTAAAAATGAGCCGCCCGTCCACGGGTGGGAAGTGCTTGCGCTTTGACAGGAGTTTTATTTCCAGAATTTATTTTATTTGTTTACGTGTGAAGTACGGTAGTGTTTTTTGGAAAATAGATTTTAGATCAAAAAGCAAATGAAATTGGGAATATCGAAATAACAGAAATCAAATGGTTTTAGAAGTGTTGAGGCACAAAACATCAATAAATACACATAGGAAAACGTTGTCATAAACGGTTGTCTGTCTCTGTAGTTGCAATTGTTGTAATATGTAAGAGTTCCTACGAGCATCAAGATTTTAAATTGAAAAATTGCAGCTGTGCTGTGCCACGGCAGCTGAGGATACAATCATACAATAAGATAATACAAGAACTACAAGAGTACAAGGAAATCGTGGTTGTCATACTATTCTTAGTACTTTATCTTTATATAGATACATTTGATGTTTACTGCACGTCAAAGGCCACATTTTTTTATTTTTCTCTTTATGCAACTGTTCTATGCCCATAGCCTGGAGAACTACTACTTTTGTGACTGTAAATGAGTCTATTATATTATTTTTTAGAAATACTTCTTATTATAATTTTCACAAGTACCGGTAACATTTTGTCTATCTTACCGTAATATAAGTTTACTTGAAATCCCTTTTGATATGTAAAATCATGACAAAACCGTTAAAGAAGCAAATATTATTATTTCTCTATGGATTCTTAACAATACATAAAATGTTTGCCAGCCTAAAGTAATTGCTTATACTGGCTACCGAACAAGCTGGTAAACGAGCAGGCGGATCACCTAATGGTAAGCAATTGATACCGCAATGGATACCGAAAACATCAGAGGTGTTGCAAAATTAAATGCGTTGCCGGCATTTTGTGGGATTAGGAATATGGTGATAGTTGGGGATTCAGGGATTAAGGAGATGGGGAATGAGAGTAATTGTTGAGACTCCAGTAATAGGTAACTCACATGGCAGAACCCAAAGCAAGCGTTCTTTCACGTCGGTTTTCCGTAAGGCCCTGATACCACACCGGTCGACCTAGCCCATTTGTGTCGAAACCCACACTTATAGTTAGAATTTTAATTAGATTCCAGATTTGACAATAGCTACTGTCATTTTGTGAAATAATGATACCACATATAATCACACAATCAGTGTGTGTGTTTTATAATAAATGTTACAGAAAGTGACAGGATAGCGATAGCGATGACGGCGACAATTTATAAAATAACTTATTACTATAATACATCTATCTGTTTTATTTGTCATGTTCTTTCATGATTACATTTTTTTATTTATTTTACACACAATTATAAAAGAAAAGTCTCAGATCGTTAATTAATCGTCAAACTAAATTATCGGTTCAGAAATATTTAATTTCCTGATATACTTAGTTTACGAGAGCAAAATTATAAACGAGAAGAATCGATCCAGAAATATTTCCATATCGAATAATTTCGCAACGTCACTATTTAGTACTTGTCATAACGTTGCAACACTGAAATTGTCAAATCTGGAATCGAATTAAAATTCCGAGTATAGTATAAATCGACAGTTAACTATCACTTTAAATTAATTTCGAAAAGAGACCTAAAAGGTAGACGAACAAACCGACTTCTAGAAGAAAACAAAAGGTCTTCATTATCCGCCTTCCCTATTCTATCAACGAAATCCGCAGTATTATCATACAATAGTAGTCACCGCTCATTACCGATGGATAAAGATATCACCCTCCACAATCTGCCACAATCATTTTAACGTTTTGCCAAGCGTAATGAGTATCTCTTTGACGGTAACTTTTAATTGCAGTACTTCAGCGCCCTCTATCTATCCTTTGAAGTTATGCCTCAGCTGTCACTACTGTCATCATGAGTTAAATTGTACAGAAAATTTCAAGGATCCTAGAAGGCGATGTGAGATAATAAGGATTGAAGATTTCAAGAATACTTTCGTTTAAAGTGTATGGCTTTATATTTTGAGTCTTTAATGTGAATTGCTTGAAGTTTTGATGTTTCGATTTTCGTGAAAGTAATAACTTGTTATAATTTAATGTCTACAATCTTAGATTGTAAATTAATAGGTTTCAGGTTAATTTTGTGTGAAATATGTGATTATTACAAAAGACGTCTAAGCAAGGGAAATATTTGTGTGATTAAAATCTATTCTGTAATTTTATGCAGCTCTAAGTTATTCTTCCCATATTTAAGGATTGCAAGTAATCGCTTTTTACAAAAACTGACAACTTTAATATCAAAATAACTATTATGTCGATTGCACTATTGTTACACCTTATGAGGTCTCATCGGTTAACTGTCATTGATTGGCAAAACAATTTTTAACCCTTTGACTGCTATATAAAACTATTGAAAATAAATTGTCTCCTAACGTACGTTGGTCACTTATGACCGATGTGGCGGTGTCCCGGTGGACAGATATGTAACATTTTAATATAATTTCAATTAGCTTTAGTTTCTCAATTAGCCTACCACCGAGCTCTTCCCTTAATCTTCAGCTTTTTGTATCTAAGTTTGTGAATATCGTTAACAATGGCACGCTGACTTCCCTAAGCTACTATTCTTTAGCATTGTATCTATATAATTCAATTCTTATTCCTTATGACCAGTTAAACTGTCAAACACCAAGCGGTCACCGGTGACCGCAACCTATTGTTCTATAATTGTGTTTATAATGACGGTACTCGACGAGTTAAGACAGGTTTGTGTATTAAAAAGAACATACCTGAACATTTCGTTGCCCGTAGCGTGTCTGACAGGGTAGGTGTCGAGTAGGCTTTACCGATGCCTCCAGATAGCTTGTCTGGACCTGTCGCGTCCAAAATGATATAAACTATTATCAAATAATAAAATAAAATTGCATACTTGGTAAGGAAAATGAAAGCTATGCAATAAAGAATGGAAAAAAAGCTTTGCGTCTATAATATATCCTCATAACATATTGTAACATGTCTACTATTCCAATTTAAGTGCTATAATATATTGGCACTGACCTTCTATACAACCTTAGTCTAAAAACTTGGAATTTGTCTATTTTAGCGAATGCCATTTGATGTCATTCAAATAACAGAGACATTGAATTTCCTATTTTCGTTTAACTGTCATGACTGATTGCACTACTTTGTATGGTTAGCAACCCCGACCACTGATGTTTACCAAGACTACTCTGTCAAAAGAGATACGGCCCAGAAGGGGTATTACCCAGTATGGCCCTTAGTAAGCCCATATGAAATCCACAGAAAGAGTAGCGCTTACTTTCAATATTTAAATGTCAAGAGTAATCTTAATAAATTTTTAGTCAAAAATAAATAGTTTATACTGTTATCAATTGCAGTCGTTGTTACAAAAAGTTATCAGTGGTTGTTGATCGAGTATTTGTTATAATGCGGCTGTCGAACACGGCTTTTCAATGTCAAATGTCAAAAGTCAAAATCATTTATTTCAATTAGAATAGAAAGGCACTTTTGAACGTCAACAATAAAATTAAAGGTGAAACTATTTGCTCGTTCCAAGGTGTAGATTCCTATGGAGAATAATATAATTTGAGTAATAAGTTCAACCCATATTTCAACTTGATTAATAAAATAATTGATGTAAATGTAAGCGCCGTAGTCCCATGCAACTCTGTTTATGTTAACCAAAGCATGCAAAATGTATCCAATGGTAAATATAAGGATACTTTATTCATAATTTAATATTAACTTATTCAAAGACGATATAAAGAAAGTAAAATATATGTAAACATTTTGACTCAAGTATCGTTACGTCTCGAATTTTAACACCACAAGTAACTTATTTAAGTCTTTTATGGGATAAGCCGATAAACGAACTAGCATTTTGGAAATTACCTCTAGAAATTTGATTTGGATTAGGGAAGGGTGTGGCGGCGGCGAGGAATTGTGCCTTCGGTAACCTCACTCACATAACGAAATCGTTGTTTCACGTCGGTTATCTGCAAGCTTATCATGAAAAGAGAAACATGTCTCTCCCACGCTTGGAGTGCAGATAATATAACTATGTAAAACTCACTTTTCACTATAACTATGTATAATATGATGAGTCTAATGCAACATGGATGACCTACTACCATTTATTGAGCTCAATTTCACACTATTATTGGAAAACTTTAAAAAAACCGTAAAAGTCTAACGAATAATTAATTCGGACTCGGAATAAACATTGAAATCTTCCACTATGACTAAGCAAAAAACTACGATATACGAACAAACACGACTCGAGTACCACCCGAATAATAAAGATATAACAAATAAAAATCTCTTCTATCCCACGCTGAAAGTCAAACGTATCAAATTGCCTCACACAATATGTTTTGAACAATTTATTTGTTGAAAATAACGATGGGGTGAGGTCGCGTGGTCACGGCATATCCATAAATCCAAAAAAAATGGGGTGGCATCATCATTACTGGTATCTATCGCACAATTAAGTTCGCATTGTTTCGGCTTCGGTTCCCATGAAATGGTAAGCAACATTGACGGGGCTACGAAAACAGCGGATTACACTTCCACTACGTAAAGTATGAATATATAAATACGTAGGTATGTTAAATTAAAAGATGTCTAAAATGTAGTGTAGTTCCTTGTACTAGAATTACATCGCTTGTGAAACTTTTAAAAAATGACCCTATTAAAATAGATTAATGAAACATTTGAAATGAGAATAACTTCAAATTATGTCTTTCTATCTCACGTAGAAGAATGTTTTTAATTAATATTATCTCATATTTTTTTCTACTCAGAGATATAAATAATAATTAACTTTATGATTCGAAGATTTTAACTACAAGATCCAATAAATACAACTTAAAGAAATATGCAACTGCTTCGGTATCCGCTAAAGTGGCAATCATCCTATCGCCCGCCCGCTGGTTTCAAGCCCGCGACGTGTTTACGAGATGCGCGGGCGCGCGTCGGCCGCACGCCACCTATTGTCAGGAGCGGCGAACTAAAAGCGATGTCACTCTACGTAACGCGCGCCATTATCGCTGATTTATAATATTTGCGCTAGAATGGGCATTGATTGTGCAATAATTGTTTGTTTGCTCCTATAGACCACCCCATGGGACCGAGGACCTGGTTTATTGGCTTATGTGAAGTGTTTGGGACCCTCGAGAGGGTTAGTGGATTAAACAATTTGATATTACGGATTACAATATGTTGGAGTGTTTATTAGGTGTCATTTAACTTCAAGAGAATCAATTTGCAGTTCGCTATTATACTTTGTTTCTTTTTTAAAATAGAACAATAGGTACGGCATAAGTCAACGGAGAATGTGTTGTTCTAAAAGTAAAATAATGTATGCTATTAAAAAAAGAGAAAATAAACTCTTTCGTTAACTAAAAATCTGCGATTTTTAATTTAGACAATCAAGGCACAACAATCAACCAAAACAAAGTTCATTCCCAAAACAAAACGATCGAACCGAAAGGTGGAAACATTGAATATAAAATTCAAACTATAAAACATCGTTTGAACAAAAGTTAACACGTCAGATTATAATAATACAATAACGTGTACTAATTAAAAAGCAAACTGTTTGGGGCAAGGGACTATTAAACATAATAAAGTCGGTGCAGACAGCAGGGAGCCCCATGATGAGTCACTTTTCACACTCGTTACACCGTATTACGATACTTACTTTGTAGATTATCTGTTTCGGTTAAAAGGGGCTTAGTATGCAGGCTTTTTAAGACTCAGAATGAGGTTTATGATGTCCAAATAGCTGTTAGGCAAAAATATTTGCTTTATAGTCTGATGGAGAAGTTGCAGTTGGAAAACAAAATGATTCTATGACGATAGCAGATAGGAAACTGAGATTATAATTGACTTTGTATATGTTTCTAAACAATAATTCCCCAACAGATGAACACAATTAACCGGTACACGAACAACAGAGGTGCAAGACAAAGAGTTTTAAAGTCAAAATCTATACAAACAGCTCATAATCTACATTTCACATTGTACTCTAACACCGACCCTCGTCCGTAATGAATATAAATCGAGAAACAACCACCCTAGCCCTTTGGCAATATACATTAAAAAAATCAATAAACTCGTATCAGAGCAGTTGGCGCATGATTTATTGATATATATTTTATCGCGATACCATCTAAAGTGTGGCCTCATAATTGATGACATTTGTACCAAACTGATCCCGGGGTCCGATAGCCATGTAAAATACTACAACTGGAATTTGGGGCGGTCTGCAATCATTTTCATGTTAACAACTCTTTACCCGATCGCCGAGGGGTTACGTTTAATACATTTCTCTTAATGACTAAGATTAAGCGGCAGTGGCACGTGGATTTTTGCACTTATTTGAATATTATGTAAATAACCCGCCCATTGCTTAGTATTTTTGGCTCGCGTCGTGTGTTTATCAAAGCCGGCTCGTAATGGATGTTGTTGCAAGCCGTTTAACACGACAACTTTGACTTGAATGTGAAATTTCATCAAAAAGTAATTTGTTCTGTAAATATTTTGTTGTTTGTGAATTAGTTTTTTGTTATCGTTCTGGCAGTTGGCCATGTAATACGGTTCTATTTGACCTGTGCTGTACTTACTTGTACTTACCATTATTGTAATCAATTCTTAGTACCCAAGGATTTTTGTTAAAAACTTGACCAGTGAGTTATTGGCTATGTGTTGATAGAATATGCATTAGAACAATGTAAGTAAGTAAATCTTCATGTCAAAGATTACTTAGTTCATAGAGTTTGTACATTTATACGCAAATCATGTAATGTGTATTCGTGCCATAACCCAACCCAAGATTATAACTGAACACAGTTCAATTTCAAACAATATCAACGATATTAAAATTAAAAAGTCTTTCACCGTAAACGCTTGGACCGAAATTGCAAGAGTTTCCATCTAGTTAACGAAAACGGAAAAGCTCGATCTCGTCTGTGCGGCACTGCCAAGACAATGGCTGCCTCGCTTCGAATTTACATTTTTTATGAATTGCGGTACTTTTTTTTAATGGCAAAAAACGTTTTTGTCTTTTTGAGAGGAGGTCTTTGTGAGCCCGCTTTTGTGGCGACCTCTGGCGGAGACAAAGGATTTTTATAACAATTGAAATATGTTGTCTATAGATCTAGTACTTATGTTTTATATTGAGATGGTTTTCAGATTATTCCTATAATCTCATAAGTAAACTAATGGAGAACTAACGTTCTGATCATCATTAAATTTAAATGTTGATAGTACAGCTAACCTATAAATAAAAAATAGGAACTATTCGTCGTGAATAAAATTGGAAATGAAGACCACCTCAATATTCACGTGTAACCTAAATATTGTAGCCAAATGAATAAATTATTTAAATAGTAGACTATACATGACTTAAACCAGCTAACAAACGTTTTAGACCAAATGTTGTTTATAAGATAAGAGAAATTCTTTTAAAAAACGTTGAATGCACGAAAACTGCAACAGAATTATCATAGTACCCTCGTTAAGGGAAAAAAGCGTTGGCTAACTTCAACAATAATGAACGGTGGGATAATAAAAATTTATTTTCGCTACTATTTACCCGAGCGCGATCATCGCAGGGCGTTAAGGGGCGGGGGCGTCTCTATAGCAACCATGGGGATGAAATCCCGTACGCCCCACTCCCTTGATTGTTATCTGAAGATGCCCCCCCACCAAGCCTCTTCTACCTACATCAAAATAATCTAAAAGGGTTTAGTTTACACGCGAAATGTGATCCTGCTTTGTTATCTTAAGGGCGAGTTTACGCTGACACAGAAAGCAATCGATATTCAGCCGTGTCTCCCGTTCGCGTTATCGTCGTGAGGTTAAGGCATATGACAATAGACCTTAAATTCTGATACGAATGTAAAATGGCTGGTGTAAAAGTGTTCGTTTTGCTAGTGAATTTTATCACCCTGGCGTAGTGCAGTTTATCACGAGACATAATGGTGACGCAGACGGGTGCGGAGGTATGGAGGGTGACATTGACTCGTTGCTGCCATATAGTAAACATATTTAAAGATTTGGTTAAGTTATTGCAGATCTACCATAGTTAGTATGGAGAGTAAAGTATTTAGTGCAATAATAGTCTTCATAACACAAAAGCAACCATTCCATCGCCCTTGTTTTATTTAAAAATATAGCAAACAAAATCGACTTACCGATAGTTTTACTCTTCTCCATAGTGCCAAGCATCGAGTCTTCAGTCCGCGCCGTACGGCCGAAGCCCAGCGTGGAGCTGGTGGCATCCTGCCCCAGCTGACCTCCATAGAAGTCACCGAAGGCAGTTGCCGTTCCTAATAGACCTGATCTGTCTTGCAAGGCCGCTTTGGCCTTTTCCACACTTTGTTTCAGTTGCTCGAAAGTGGACTGATGTAACCGGTAAGGAGGCCATTCTGTTGCTGGCCATGGTTCTTCTTTCAGAGCGCTTCTTTTCAATTCCAATGCTCCTGCGTAGGAGCAGCTACTCTCGTACATTGCCGCTTTGAGGCCAGCACGAAGTGCAGTTGCACACTTAAAACTACGTAGATCAACCCTGAGGACAAATAAACAGTGATTTAGAGAACACTTCAATCAAATAGGATTAATCTGAAGATTAAAATATATTACGAAGGAGCCACTCTGTATACAAGTAGCCAAGAAATTGACTTTTGTTACTGATCTCCGCCTTTTTATTATATTAACACTTCTGTACAATAAACATACGATGGCGGACTTAATGCCGGGTGGCATTCTCTAACAGTCAACCATGGGGTGATGCAGAGATGTGCAACAGTAGGTGTATAAAGTATAATGGTTCAATTTATGTGACACAGAAAAAATTATATAAATAAATGTATGATGCCTTTTCATAAGACTTGAATTTTATGAAAAATTTAGTTCCTGGTCGGTTAAAATTATATCTTCTTGAATCATCACTGAGCAGAAACGTACCTTGGAGTTTAATCAGAGCAACGAGATTGCCAATGTGCAGTAGTACATGCCATGATTAAGAGCAATAAACAACCAGAAGTCACTTGTTATCGTCATCAAGGAAGCAGATGCAGTGATTATTTAATCTGTGCATCTATTTACACAAAATTAAATAATTACTTTATAATTGACGACTGAACCTGCAGTTGGGGACGCATGAACACCATGCCTATTACGAGTAAATAAGCGCAGATGGTTAAATAAATGTCGTGGTAGTCCGGAGGTTTAAAACGCCCGCTTCTCATGCTAAAGGTCTCGGTTCAGAACCTACCAACAGCTAGTACTAATGTGACTTTTCCGAGTTATATGTACTTTCTAAGATTATTTAGACACCACTAACAAACGATAAAGAAAAAAATCGTAAGGAAACCTGGCCTGTTAATTTCTAATTATAGGTTTGAAATTGTCAACCTGCATTAATGAACAATGATATTTTTTTTATTTCTCCTCACAATGACACTTGACAATATTCTAGGATTTACAATTTTTTTATCATCTCATTTTTATCGCAATGCGAGGAGCTGGAGTCTATGCCAGGCGTAAAATATTCGCATAATACGGTATTCGCATGGCGTAAGCAGTGAACGTGTCGGGAAACAATAACTAATGTCAATAATTAATAAAAATTTTAACTAAATCGTTTTATTTTTAACATTAACAACTGCTGTATCCCTGCTAATTAGAATCTTCCATATGCAAGGGTTTGCCATAATCTTTACAACTAATAGGGTTGGAAATCACAGTACATAAGGTCTCAGGCCTTAGTACGAGTTTGATTTACGGTACTCATTCGGCATTTTGATTGGCCGGCGCCAATAAAGCAACCAATCACAGCGCCGAACGCGTACTCATTACGATTTCTTTAAACGTAAAATAAAGTCGTATTAAGGCCTCTGTACTTTAAGGGCATAGCAGACTTAACCGGCACTGCTCCGGCATGCTCGCTAAATCTGAACTTTAAATCGTATGTCGCATGACATTTTTCATAACATCAATATAAAAAGCTGTAAGCGCATCGCCTACGTGCCGACAACCTTTTTGTATTTATTTCCTAGCAAAAACTCCTTGCCGGAGCCGTAATCGAGTCGTGCTTGTTAAGCGTGTGATAAATTTTAGTCGTTTCATAGAACTCTTACAGGAATATCACGAGTTATCACACGGCAAATATCAATGCTAAGTTATTAAAAAACATATAACATAACATAACATCACGCCTTTTATCCTCGAAGGTGAGAGGAGGTGAGAGGTGCACATTGTACAATGTAACACCCACTTTCACTATTTATGCTATGAGTACCATGTATTAGGGCCTATTGCCATAAACGTACTCAGAATTATTTAAAAACCCAGTAATACTTGGCCTGACTCGGGAATCAAACCCGAGACCCCTCGCCCCGTAGGCGCAGCGACCACTTGGCCAACGAGCCAGGCAATGAGTATTGAAAAATTGGCTCATAAATATCATAGGTTTCCATACTTTGATAAATACATTCTTAAGAGCTTATCTACATTGTACTACACCACAACTAACAAACATAACCGGTCTTTACTTGTCTATGACCACTTGTTCTAACTATGATCGTGTGTGGCGACATATGGTACATGTCAATGGATGACGTCACAAAAATCCTACATCGCACATGCAAAGTTTACATGCAAATTAACACGGATAGAAAATCCCAACAAACAACGGTTGGCCAGAAAGCCCGCCAGACACGATCACCTCGCCTGGTCGGAGGATCCTCCTTTTCCGATCTTAGGGAACTTTTCACTCTGTTCTCTAAAAGTGCTATGAGTAGACTTTCATCCATTGCAGATCGTAATAAGTCACTCCATCGATGAAGGATTAGCATGTAACTTGAGCTTCAACTTTAGCTGTTCACATTTAAACGCTGCTAGTCTTACATCAAATATCTTGCCTAGCTTTCAACTTCTTAATCTCTCAATCACTCAATCAAAAAGTAACGAATGAGTTATCAATACATAGTATAAAACAAAGTCGCTTTCGCTGTATGTCCGTATGTATGCTTAGATCTTTAAAACTACGCAACGAATTTTGATGCGGTTTTTTTTAATAGATAGAGTGATTCTTAAGGAAGGTTTGTACGTATAATACATGCATATTGCACCCGTGCGAAGCCGGGGCGGGTCGCTAGTACAATGATAAACTAATGTTGGACATTTAACATTGAGATAGCAAAGTCAAAATAATTCAACCAATTTATATTACAAAAGAAGACTTTTGAAAGTCAACGATACAAAGAAGTCCTGTGTTATACAAAGAAGACCTATACGGATCTGTCTACAGTTCAGAAAAATTGGTTTCATTAACTAAAAATATCTGTTTACTGACATTAATATTTAAAGAAATGCTAACAGTTTCAAATCACAGTTTCGAGTGTGCTCAGTACATAATATTTACGTGAGTAATGTTCGAATACAGAAATGCTTTCTCATTTTTTATTTTTTATTTTGTTTATTTATTTAAGGGCAACCAATACAGCATACACCAAAATACATGATAAGTTTTTAACATATTTTATTATTGTATAGTGTAGCCTTAATTAAAGGTTGCCACGACATGCATTAAACAAAGATTAGGATATTACAAAATGTTCACATCAAAAAAAGATATCATAATAATACTTGTTAAATCATAATTGTTACATTTTAATTTGTAAACTGTAAAATTTTAATACGAATGAAATATACTGTGGAGTTTAACTCTGTGTCTCCTACGCAAGACAGTTTTCACCTTAAAAAGACAGTAGGATATGTCAATATCCACATTAAGTGAGCATGATTTTGATTTTAAGTCGTGGTTAAATATAGTTGTTACTACAAATTCTTTGTAAAATGACATAAGTGACATGATATTTAAGTACAATTTAAAATTATGTAGCCAGTCAGTTTTCGGATGTAAACCATCATCATCATCATCATCATCATCAGCCCGTATTCGTCCACTGCTGGACATAGGCCTCTCCAATGGCACGCTACTGAGCTCGATCTTCAGCTCTTCTCATCCAAGTACTACCAGCTACCACTATAACCCCTTATTTTTGGTTAATTCAGTATGTATGTGTCACGATATTTACTATCAAAATTAGTTAATTGTCGTCTTATTCAAACTCCTCAAGACAGCCTAAATGGACATACCTCCAAGTCTCAAGCCAGTGGTTTCATAGATATGTTATGGTAGAATATCATCTATCACTATGCCTTTAATTTATATCAAATCTTTTCACTAGTGTTGCGTGAAAGAGAAACAACAATTCTTACTACATAATGTAGGCTTCACGACATAATTACCTCTATTGTTAACTAGCTTTTACCCGCGGCTTCGCTCGCGTCACAAAAGGATAAAAAGTAGCCTATGTGACATATACCAATACACACAGAGCAATCTAAACCAATAATTTCTTTTTCCTTCGAGTATATCAAATTTTTCTGGGATAAAAAGTACCCTATTATTTAATTCAAACTTCTAACTTTACGTCTGCAAAAATTCAAAGCAATCGGTTCAGTAGTTACGGCGTGAAGGCGGAACAAACAAACAAACAAACAAACTCACTTTCACACACAAGGATTGCTAAAATTTTTTTATAATAAATTCCTGCTAATAATTAAAATGCGATAGTTTTTGAGGATGTATGTGAATGTGTGTGTTACTCTTTCACGTGAAAACTGCTGAAGGGATCGGATTGAAATTTGGAGCCAGGGTAGATTATGGTTTGAAAGAACACATAGGCTACTTGGAATTCTACGGTGACGAGGGTAAAGTCGGTGGCCGAAGCTAGTTCTTTATATTGTAGACAGGACGTGTCAATCTTCTCTCTTTTCAAAGCAAGTTTTTTATTATAAATGCGAAAGAAACAACTATTTTAGTCTGACTCTCACCTCATATCGGAAATTCGTTTTCTTTTCGTTCGCTTTTTGTATTTGCCGTCTTTTTCCGTCGTGGTAGCTGTATTGTGGTATCACATGTCAGTGATACCACGCACGAGAAATGAATCCAGTCCCCTACGTGCACTTGTACACTACAATGAGATAATTTCACTGTCCCACAAAACGAATTCTGTCTCCAGGACACATTTTGATAGTTCACACAGTCCACTAAATATTCACAGACGTAAAACCGTTGAATAATCGAAATAGTATTTTTATAATAGTGTTGCGATCGATTCCCCAATTAATCGCCGATGCCAGATCTACACATCGATATCTCGATTCTGGTTTATCGATACCGCGGTGAGAGTGAGAGGACGGTCGATCGCGAACTGTTCGTCGCCTGCGCACTCCGCTGATGCCAATTGAACGCATCCGGCTTCAAGGAAATATGTCCTACAATCAATTTAAATGTACCACTCGATTTGACCACGGTCGTGAAATTGTGGTGTAAACGCGTTTCAGTTAGCTGTCCTAATTTATTTAATGTTTTGTATATATTTACGCATTTATTATGGTCTGTCATATCTCGCCGCCTAATACGTAGTGTGGCTAAAAAAACCACGTCACACATTCAGTATATGGTGGTATTGTCATTTTTGCAGTCTGTACTTTATATTTATATCAAAGTATCCAAAATAGTAATTAGCTTCTAACCATATTATAATCTCCTTTATATTTTCTGAAGACAGTAAATTAGATCTTAATAAAATGATTTGTGAGACATCTTCGCCAAATAACAAATAAACCAAAAAAGAGCAAACGAAAAATAAAAAAACAGGCCCCACTTTCGGGCTAACCCCACCAACTGACAAATGAACATATAAAATTGACGCTCGCAAGTGGGCGCGAGTAGCGGCGCGCGCGCCACTTTGTCGCAGGAAGTCTATACATTACCTTATTATATCCCGTAAAAGTGTCATCCGCTTGTCGGCCAAACAGGTGATGGCCTTCACAGGAGACAATTGAACCATATTGTATGCTGCATGTTCAGCTTGAAGTATGGTTTCGGATTAAAAGTATAGTTTTTCATGGGTACGTAGTGCGCATTGCGCAGTAAAATAAAGCATCGTGAGGGAAACCTGGGTTTATAAATTCTAATTTATATTTTAATTATAAGTTTGAAATCACCAACCCACATTGAGCAAGCTTATACTCAATCCTTCGCCGTGCGAGAAGAGGCCTTTGGTCAGAAGTGACCACTTATAGGCTGTTAATGTGAATCATGTAGTAATACCCGTATTGCTGATCAAATACGTTTTTAATACTTTTCCCATAGGTAGGTACATACTTAATGGATATAGACGCAGGCCGTGTGGTAACCACAGAAGAAAATATTCTCGGACTTACTGAGGGTATCGTAAATGAAAGAGCACAAAATATTACGTAGCAGCGCATTATTTTAGGACTGTTTAAAAGCCCACCAGAACCTCTCAAAACCGCTGCATCCTTTAAACGTACCAGGGATATGAATAACTGTCTTGGTTCTCGCAACGAAGTGAATCAGAAGGTATTAGAGGTATAAGAGGAGAAGAAAACACGATAGTTTTCACTTCTCTCGGTGAATTACTGCAAGAGACAGAATTAATTAAGCCTAAAGGCACAAAAAAGACATTATTTTAGAACTGTCGTAACTAGCGCACGTGCTAAATGGGTCTATACCCCAGGCATCAGACTGCTACGTACGCTGTTAACGTTTTGTTGTTAGTTGAACTCATGCAACATTCTCTTAAATACCTAGTATCTTCTAATTAAAACCTAGCTCATCAGAGAACTGATTCATAAATCAATCAGTCTAACCTCTTCACCCGGTTCTAAAATACACTACACAAATAACGAAATACCAATTTTCCCCATACTCCGCTAGAAAGGCTGACCAAACGGCTACTAATCACACGACTAATCGACCGAGAAATCAGCCGAACATTTTGTACTTACTCACACACTGTATATCGGTGTATTTTTACAGACAAGATCACCCTGTATGAATCTGTTTGTAGTAGAAAACAAGTTACGTATTGATTTGGGAAGGGCTGACTTCTTAGGGCGTATTCAGGCGACGTTTCTACTCGTACACGCACCGATGACGTGTTTTGTGAACTACATAGATATTTATTTTTATAGTTCATATTATTTATGAGGGTATGGAAACATGTTAGTATACGGTGCAATCCTACTAGTATTATAAATGTGAAAATTTGAATGCAAGAAGATTTTTAAATAAATAAAGAAATGTACGAAGAAAGAGGTGTTTGAATGCAAAATAATGATGTGGAAATAGAAGCCTTGCGATATTTATACTTGAATAAATACTTTGATGAATACTTAAATGCATTTACTTTCAAGGATATAGTGGAGTACATACATTTGTCACCATCTCTTGTCTTCCCGTGAGTATCATAAGACTAAAGAATTATACGTTAATAAATAAGGGTGCAGGCTGTAGAGCGCTCCATGATAAAAACGAGGTTTTTTGACTCCAGGTGGTGGAAATAATGGCAAGACCCCTTCACAGTCTAGCAGTGAGCTGTCGTGAGCTGTCGATTATAATTACATTTTATACCACTTCTTTCTTCAATAAGTATAATAAGGAGTCGATATCTGTAAAATGTAATTCGGTATAACAAGAGGGTTATTCCATCAGATTATTCCATTTTAGAAACGTCATGATGCACTTGGCCATATATTAGTATCATAACGAAACAGTTGCAATAAAAAAATATAAATGTAAATATACTTTATTGGAAAAAAGGATTAAAAGTAACGGAACGAGAGGCGCCGTGCATTCTAATGCTATCGGCAACTACGTTAATGGCACTATTGGTCAGTATATCTATATATTGTATTATACACCTATGTATATCTTATGGCAGCAGCGTGTTAATCCAGTTGTCCAATCTCATTCTATTTTCAATCTAACTTGGTATTAATTATAAAATAATCTAATTTCTAGACTCATTAAGATGAGCATAACATAATAACGTAACCAAATCTTCATCACCCCAAATAGAAGCAAGTACAGTCACTAGCAATAATTAATTCCACACGTGATTTACGCGAATATTATGCGGGCATATACATGTACAGTCGGCCCCAACTCCAAGTGTCTACTGCTCGCTAGATTTATGCATCTATGGTAATACATGTTGATGTAACAAGGCATACATTTGCGTTTATAAATAAAAACGGCGAAGCGTTATCTATCTGACTGTACTTTTAAATTCTCTTCGTATACAAGTGGTGTTTTATTTTTGTGATTTATTGTACCTTGGTGGTTTATTATACTTGTTATAGTCATTTTGTTTTATGTTAAAGATTGTGGTATGAAGTCATTTTGCTATTTAACAAAGGCTTTGTCGGTTAAGTGGTTTTGTATGCAGGTGAGACAATAATGAAGGAAGACGGCCACACGAATCATTGATTGATTAAGCCAAAATACCATACAATTCTGTATAAGAGTAGCTGCTATCTCTGTACTGCAACTATCTTGATTTTCTTAACTACATGCTATCTAACTGCTGATTGACCTATATGACCTTATTACTTTAATCACTGAAGTTGTTAAATAAACCGAAATAGACATGGCGGTGGCTATAAAATAAAAAGCAATTTGGATAATAAAAAAATAAGAAAAATGAAAATGAAAATGAAATATTTATTTGCAAACATAGGTACAATGGGATGTTACATTTCATGCTATAATATCTACCATCTATTTATTGTGATATGTCACATACAAATTAGGTTATAAGAGAAAGTCTATACATTCTCTTATTTTTTTAAATTACTATTTATTAATATCAAATTATACGATGGTTGGCAGAGCACAAAAAACGACAACGACAATGTGCCATAGATAATATTAAACTATAAGGGTATAATTATTATATCTATGGTTACTAAGTTTGTGAAGCGTCCATCACTTCATCATTTATAGAAGACCAAACACACACGATATTTGAAATCGTTCACATATTCTTTTACAAAGATTGAATAGTAAACTAAAATTGTTCAAATCTTTTAGCATTAAGAATCATGTAAATCATACAAGTTCTTTTTTAAAGCCCCTAATTACTGCATTTTTCGGCCATTTTACTGCTAGACATTAAAGGCATTGCGTCGGTATCGCGTGCCATCCATTCTGCTCCTTGAGTGTGCCAAACCGACTGTATTACTGGCAAAACATAGTTACTGGCAGAAACACAGTTACTGGCATTCTAATAACACGTTTAACTTATTTGTTGCACACACAACCGTTTAGCACTTGTTTTCGTTTTTGAACGCATTGTATATTGATGTAGTTATTTGCGTTCGTGTCAAATTATAGTCATGGTATGTATGTCAGTTAAACAGCTTGATATTTGTTAATAAGTTTGTGTTATTTGGTGTTGTAGTTCAAAATGTGTTTCTTGTAGCTACACTGAAATTATTTGTTCCTTGATAGGCATCAAAGGCTTTGTCTGACTTTGAGAAACGGGATTGAAGAACTTAACTGATTGTCATGTTGATGTAATCGTATTATTACTTAACTTTGGTTTCTTACTATGATCCTATACTGTTCTATGCTAAGCTGTGGGCGTCCTCTGCTTAAACTATAAAAAGAGAATTTACCATCATTAGGTGATGTGTAATCTGAATCCGCCTACTAATCTCTATGGTGGTAAGGTGGGTGCAGATTATCACGAACGTATTCTATTCTGCCGCCTCAACACGGCTTACTAACCAACCTAACCATAACTTTAATCTTCTACCAAACTACCCAGCCACTATAGCAAAATAGACCTGAAATTCAATCATATGGTTTAAACAATTGCACAGTTCACCTAGCTTCGGTAATCGAGTTATCTAGACGGGACAGAAGTAGGTGAGGCGAATTGGCTCGGTAGCAAATGCTAATTTCAAACGAAAGCATGCTTCAATTGAGCACTCGTTACTTAGTTGCATGTGTGTCGGAATGTTGCTCAAAATTAGTATGTTAATGTCGGGCATGTTGAGAATCGATAGGCCTTCGATTTTCGAACATTTTTAAGCATACTCACTAGACTGCCTTGTAGCAGGTATTTTCAGAGCACGTTTATAGCCTTAAGATTTCCCTCTCAAATTGGTACAAATGATAACGATGTAATATTGAAATATGAGAACATTTTGTGCTGTAAATCTTCACGTTAAGTTTAACAGCATTAATTCAAGTTTTAACTATATCTAGAAAACAAAAACATAGAAAACTAATATGCATTAACTAACTGACGGACTAAATAGATGTTTCATTTGCATTCTTTGTCTCTTTCCTC